TGCTGTAGCTGACAGTTTTCCTCAGTTGGCACTTTGTGATCAGCACAGTGGCTTCTTCTGGGATTATGGCAGGTTTGGCTGCCCTCTACCTGCCGTGCAGCGATGGTGGGGATGCCCTGCAGCAAGGGTGGTACAGTTTCTTGCCTCTGGGACAGGGTAGGGTGTGACAGTCATGTGACAGTGTGTTTTGGCAGCAAGTTTCAGAAGCACCCCCTTGTTGTGGGGTGTCACACAGCTCTGGGCTTGACTGCCCACAAGGAGCAAGGAGCTGTCAGAGCTGGCTCCTGCGTGCACCTCCCCACTTGAGCTGAGACAGGGCTAATAAAGTTGGGAGAGCTTCCTGCTGCCTGCCAGGCAGGAAAGTCTGACACTGCTTGGTTGCATGGGCTTTCATTTGGGGGTGCACTGGGCAGGGCCTTGGGGCTAAGCTGCCATTGAGGGTGATGGAGCATCTGGTGCTCTGGAGAGTGCCCAAAGTGTTGGGCCAAGGGAGGGCTGGAGAGGTATGTCCACCTCCACTTTCTCCTGTGGAGAGAACCCCACCCTACACGCACCCATCTGGCACCCATCCCACTGCTGGCAAGTCTTTTAAACTGCTGCCTCTGCTTTGGGTCTCAGTGGGACCTGTGGATAATGCCTGTCCTCCACAAGTGGTTGGAGTCTCAGCCTCCAGAGTATTCCAGCTATCCCTGGTGTCCAGCCCTGATCATCAGCAGAACCCAATGCACTGTGGACTCATTGTTCCCACAGCAGTTCCCCAGGGCCAGGTATGCAGGGTTCCTGGGTGCCTGTCCTGTCCCCGCTGTTCCCCTTCCTCTGTTCTATGGGCTAGGTTGAGGGAAGGACTTGAGTCCCAGTCAGTCTTGGTTCTGCCACTTAACCCTTTTCTGTGTAGTCTCTTCTTCCCCAGGTGTAGGTGGCGTGTTCTCTTCAGGTTGTTTTCAGGTTTAGTTGTATTTGCTGTAGTTGCTGCCTCCTTGGTGTGTGTGTGTGTGTGTGTGTGCGTGCGTGTGTGTGTGTGCGTGCGTGTGTGTGTGTGTGTGTGTTTCCACCTTGCCTTCCTACTCTGCCCTCTTTTTCTCCGTCCCACTCCCAGCCCATTCCAAATGACTAAACTAACAAGGGCATTTGTGCTCCTATCCTGTTAATAGAAAACCATTAAACTATTTCTCATTTGTATGTTCTATTCTCTCTCAGATAGGCTTTATATATTTTTTTGTTTTGGTGGGTTAAAGCATATTCTGCTCCAGAGAATTTCACCCTCCTTCCCTTCCACAGTCAAACCTCCAGAACAGGTATTTAAACTGGCTCTCTCTATTTCCTATTTGTACTCCTGAACACATTCCACTCTGAATTCTGCCTCTGTTGGTTCACCAAAATAGCTGTCATTTTGGTTACCAGTGACTGCCACTAAATCCATCAAATAATTTTTCTTGTCATTTTAAATTGTCTTCACATGCTGTTTGGCATAGTTGACCTTCCTTTCTTAAAATAGTCTCTCTGGCTTTCAGGATTCTTAGTTTTCTTCCTCGCTTTGAGATTTATATCTGTACTTGGCCAGGTTGGAATTCCTCAGTGGGTAAACCTATATCTTTTCTTTTCTCTAACAATATTTTGTTATGAGGTAATCTCACTTATTAGGTCATTTCCATTTATATGTATGTAATTACTTCACATCTGTATAGAATTTTTAAAGTTATTTCATACAAAACTGAATTTACTATTAAAACTCAGTTTCCTAGCTAGGTAGATTTACCATCATCACATTTAGCTGGTACAAGCTAGAGACCTAGGGTAGGATGAACATTTAATTTATTATCCAAACCACTTTTGAGAACTGAAGGGAGTGCTATTAATAATTATACCGAGATTGCTTGGCCAACTTGGACCCACAGTCATTCTGCCTGGAGTTGTCATTGACACTTACTGCTTAATCATCCTCAGATCGAAATTCACTACCATGTTCTGTTGATTTTTATATCCTTATAATCTCTCAAATCATTCATCTCTCTTCATTTCTACAGTCATTGCTGCTCATCAAGTCTCATCTAAACTGGCAGTAGTCTTTTTGCTGATATCTTTGCATCCACTCTTGCTCTTTCTAGTCTCTGGTTTATCTCTTCTCAATATTACAGCCACAGGATACTTTCTAAAGCACAAGTTTGGACATCTCACTATCACAGAACCACCCCATCCCCACGACCTTTCTTGATTAAAACACATCAAAGGCTTCTCATTGTTCTTAGGATAAAAGATTATAAATCTTAACTTGACCCACAAGGCATTTCATAGTATGGCCTGAACTACTTCTCAGGCCTTGCGTTCAGTGTTTACCTTTGCTCTAGGTGTCATAGCTGGTCCATTACTTTGGCATTCTTTTGCTTCCTGGGATATACCATGAGCTCTGCCTCTGCATGGACTATTTTTATTCTCTGGAATGCTTGTCTCCTTAATGTGCTAAATACCTGCTCATTCTTAGGTGTCAGCATAAACTTGCTAAATACCTGCTCATCCTTATGTGGTAGCATAAACATCCTTTTCACAGTGGTATTTGTCCAAGCTCCCTGACTAGGTCAGATCTCTCTTCTGTAGCTTTCATGTACGCTTGCAATCTTTATCATCTTGAATAGGATTACTTGATTAATATCTTTCTCTTCCACTAAATTGTAAGCTTCATGGGAGTGGGAACCATGTCTGGGTACCCTCACCATATTATCGAGCACCCAGCACAGTCCCAGGCATAAGGTAGGTAACTCAATAAATGATGAAGAGTGAATGAGGACAACCTTATGTGGGGACCTTATGTCATAAAGCACTTTAGGCCTTTTGAAAATGAAGGTGGTGGTGTGTGTTTAATTTAAATCCCACCAGTACAGCTGGTATGATTGTTTCCTGAAGTGTTGGGGAAATATTATATATATTTGAATCTTTAGAAGAGGGGTGTGATGTTTGAACAGAATGTAAAGAGAAACTAGGTAAATGTATCATGAGAGATTGTTTGATGTGGTTATGCATATCCAATAAATATTCTGTCAGTTGTGCTTTTTAATTGTGAGCTATAACTGGTATTCTAATGGAAAATGTTTATTGTTTTGTTGAAACTTCATGTTTAATACGAAAGACAGGAATATTAACATAAGGTAAAAGTTTAAGAGTGTAAATTCTAGAAACTTTAATGTGAAGGTTTATTTTAAAGTAAAACTTCTGTTAACTTATTTAGTGTATAGTTATTCTAAATATATCATAAGCTTTATGGGCTAGAACTATCTTTTAGGAGCTTATAGTTTAATAAGCATGATGATGCATATATCACATGCATATCAGTTGTTCAGTATGAGCATTTTCTTGCATTTATTGCAGATATCTCCCATTCTATGATTAGTCTATCACTCTCTTTACTTTGCCTTGTGAGGAACAGAAGTTCTTAATTTTAGTGAAATTCAGTTTGTCAGACCTTTTTCTTAGTTTGCTATTAATGCTTTCTATATTCACATTTTCCCAGTTGTCTCAAAGGTAGCTTCTAACATCTGGTTTTTTGAGTCAGCACCTGTATTAGTTTGCCAGCTGCCATAACGAAGTACTAGAAACAAAGTATGGGTGGATTTCATAACAGAAATTTATTGCCTCACAATTCTGGAGACTAGGAGTCCAAGATGAAGTCATTAGCCAGGTTGTTCCTTCCGAGGGCTGTTTGATGGAAGGAGCTGTTCCAGGCCTCTCTCCTTGGCTTGCAGGTAGCTGCTTTCTTCCTGTGTCTCTTCACACTGTTTTTCTCCACACATATCTCTGTGTCCCTATTTCCCTTTTTTATAAGGACATTAATTATAGCAAGTTACCTCACTTTGATTATTTCTGTAAAGACCCCATTTCCAAATAAGGTCACATTTTCAGGTACTGGGGGTTAGGAATTCAGTGTATAAATTTTGAGGGACTACGATTCAACCTGTAAGAAGGTCAATATAAGGTCTACACATTGCTTAGGTTGTATGTCTTCTATGTCCTCTTTTGTTTTATGAAAATTTCCCCTATTCTTCCCCTTTTAAGTTTTGTTCTCTATACATGTAGTACTGATTAGGAATAGATTTATGGAAATTCAAGGAAGTTAGGGAAGTTGAGGAAGATCGACATGTAATATTACAAAAAACCACAATGAGCTGTTTACATTTTATTGTTAGGAAAACTGACAGTTTTCTGAAAATGAATGTAAAACCTTAATTAAGACTTAGGCTTTTTTTGTTTTGTTTTTTTTTAATTAAGGTATCATTGATATACAATCTTAATGAAGGTTTCACATGAGCAACATTGTGGTTTCAACATTTCCCCCTAATATCGAGTATCTCCCACCCCATTGCAATCACTGTCCATCAGCGTAGTAAGATGCTATAGAGTCATTACTTGTCTTTGCTGTGCTATACTGGACTTAGGCTTTTTTTTCAAACAATAAATACATGCCATAAAGAATCACAATTATGTTCCCTTTTATTTTTGCATAGTATGTGCCACTTTAGGATGGGTATTGATGCTTTTGCTTTATTGTGAGATTGTGAGACAGAAACTCGAGTAGAGACTCACACAGAGTTCTGCTCTGACTGTCTATGCTGTCCAGCAAGGTTTTGCTTTTCCTTCTGTTCCAGCTGGGCTAGAGTAAGTGAGGACAAAAAATTAAGTCACTGTTCCAGAAGCAGTGAATATGTGGGTAGTTTGGGAGTTGTGTGGCTGTCTTGAAGCAGGTCTGAAAGATATTGCCAGATGCTAGCATAGAACCGAGAATCTTCCATACTTTCTTTGAGCAAAGCAAGTGAAAGAGTTCCTTGTTTTGAGAAGTGGCACATTCAGTTGGAAGCTAGTAAATTCTCACCATTCATGCCTTTATACAAAGTAAAATTAATTTTGCCAGTATGTGGGTCCCCAAATTTTAAAGTATATCACATGTGATTAAAATTGGGATTATTAAAAAGAGGTTAACTTTGTTTTTTGTTTTAATTTCTATTTCTCAATAGATTGTCTGAGTTTCCACATTTTCGAAATAATCATAAAGCTGCAAGGACATCAGATATAGTTAAAACAAAAGATCTTAAATCCAGATCTCCCAATATGGATGATTGCTCAAAGACTGATCACAGAGCAAAAAGTGATGTTTCTAAAGGTGTACATCATAGCACTTCACTGCCAAACCTTGAAAAGGAAGGGAAATCACATTCTGAGAAAAAAAGCACTTTGCATTTGCCTACAACTGTTGAAAAACACTGCACCAATGGCAGTTGGTCACGTACCCATTATCCAGTTAGTGAGGGCAGCGCAAAGGAGGATAATAGACGAGGGAGAAAAGATATTAGACATAGTCAGTATAGCAGGGGAACTGACAGAATACGAAAAGACTTAAATACTAGCGGTGGTGATGGTGAACCGAGGAACACGGAGGCTGGTCAAAGGCTTCAGGGACGAACTGAGAAATATGGTAAAGGTGAACCAAAGGCTGAAAGCAAAAATTCAAAGTTTAAAAGTAACACAGATTTGGATTATAAAAGTGAACACATTAGTTCTTCTTGGGAAAAAGAGATCTCTAGAGAAAGGTCACACAGTCGAGTAGAATCTCAAACTGACAAAAAACTAGAAAGACAAAGTGAAAGATTACAAAGTACAAATAGAAAAGAACTTAAATCACAAGACAAAGAAGAGAGAAAAGTTGATCAAACACCTAAATCAGTAGTAAAAGACCAGGATCATTGGAGAAGATCTGAACGAGCATCACTTCCTCATTCTAAGAACGAAATAACAAAATCTTCTTACAATTGCAGTAAATACCATCTAGAAGAGAGAAGAGGAAGGGAAGAGTGTAAAAGAGACAGGGGTGTAAGTAATCATAGTTTTCAAGAAGGAAGGTGTCCATCCTCTCTTTCAACAAGTAGAACTCACAAATACTTGGACTCCAGGGAAGTTGATGCTGTGCACCAATGGGAAAATACACCTTTAAAAGCAGAAAGGCATAGAACTGAAGATAAGAGGATAAGAGAACGAGAAAGCAAAGAAGAAAATAGGCATATGAGAAATGAAAAAAGAACACCTATAGAACATTTTCAGAAGACTAACAAAGAAACTAAGAAAACCATTTCTGATTTAAAGAGACAGAATGAGCCAAAAAATGATAAAGGTGATGTTTCTAATAATGATGTTTCTGAAGGAGTGGATAATAAAGAGCTTGCAGTTAAAGCAGAGAGTGGTCCAAATGAAACAAAAAAGAAAGACTTAAAGTTGAGTTTTATGGAAAAGTTGAACTTAACTCTTTCTCCTGCTAAAAAGCAACCTGTTTCTCAGGATAATCAACATAAAATAACCAATACTCCCAAATCCAGTGGCATAGGTGATTTGGAGTCCCTGGTGCAGACTGAAACAGTGACGTGTGTTCCTTCTGTCCGTGGACATATCACAGAGGATAATAAATCAGAAGTACTGGAACCAAAGGATGTGCTTACAGCACCATCTGAATCCAGGACCAGTATCCCAGAAAGAAAAATAGAAGAAGAAAATTGTTTGTTTGTTAAATCTGTTGAGAATGCTTCACATTGTGTCATGCCTGTGCCCATCTGTGATGCAGAGACTTCCTTTCCAGCACCTGTGGAAATGGAACAAACAGAATCTTTGTTGCCATCAACAGAAATGGAACAAATCATTAATGGTGCAGCAGTTCCTGTGGCAGTGGACATATTACAAACAAGTGTTTCTCAGAACTTTGACTTGGAATTGGATAACAAAAGAAATGATTTAAGTTCTTGTAGTATTTCTGAAGGTAGGGAAATGAAGGAGGCTTTTTCAACAGAAGTGGCCAAACCCAATGACAGCATTTTGCAGCCCTCAATTGAAGAAGCTGGAAGTTTACCAGTAGTCCTTTCAGAAGATGTCAACCCAAAATTTGAGCCTTCTCTTGTAGATACACCACGGGTTGAGGGTAAGTTTTGTCATTTGGAGTCTTGCTTACCTAAAGAGACTCTGGAATCTTCTCTTCCGCATACTGAGTTAATGGACCACAGGATGGAAATTGGTGAAACAAACTCAGTCTGTCATGATGATGAGAACTCAGTTCTGAGCATTGATCTTAATCACCTGAGACCTATTCCAGAAGCCATCAGTCCTCTGAATAGTCCACTGAGACCTATAGCAAAAGTTATTAGACTGGAAAGCCCATCTCGAATTCCATTATATAATAACAGTCATAAAGGTAATTGTTTATGTTATCTTCTATAACTTTTTGTGATGTAAAATATGTAGTAAGAAGAAATAGTTTTTTCTTTTTTATATCACTTAATTAATATATCCAGACCCGTGTTGTTAACTAGAAATATAAATTGAGCCTTTAGTCGTGTAGGTAATTCTTATTTATAGAAACAAGGGATCAGTATGAATAGATTGTTTCAGATACTCTTGGCTTGCTTTCAGGTATATTTTTGTTATTGGAAAGGCATAGTATAGGTGATTCTGTTAATGTGAAGTAAAGATGCCCAAACAGTTGGTTAATGGTCATCTACATGACCAAACTACACTATCACTGTTGTCATACACCTTCTGAGTACCTTTTGAGACCAGTAAAGACAATGACATAAACAAATATTAGACATTAACATTCTTAAGAATAAAAAAGCTATTAAAATAATGAATTGCCTCAATATTTAATTTTTTGTTATATTTCGTGTGGAAATGTCAGATGACTAAGACTCGGTTGCCTTGTGACTAATAAACTTCTCTTCCACAGATGTGTTTCCACCAAATTCAGCTCATTCTACCTCCAAGAGTCCGTCTAATCTCAATAAAGAAAATCAAAAACCAGTTCACAAATCTGACAAATTTTCAGTAACATACTCCCATAAGAATTTATCTTCAGATGAATTAGAAGAGGGAGAAATTAAAAGTGACAGTGAAAAATCTAAACCACAAAAAAGTTATGAGAAAAGTGCCAAACCTAAAGCTTCTACTGAAGTGCGGAATACAAAAATTAGGAAAAGTACTGTGCATTTGCACAAAGACAGTGGAAAAACATCTCTAAAAATCCATCAGACTGAAAGCAAATGGAATAAAAGACAAAGTGAATCTAGCAGATCTTCCAAAACAGAAAAGAAAAATAAGACAGTGAGCACCTCCAGCCTAGAAAAAATTGTTCCAATTGCTTCTGCACCCTCTTCTATACGAGAGGTTATGCATATGTTACGAATGATAAGAAAACATGTAAGGAAAAATTACATGAAATTCAAAGTAAAATTTTCATTAATACAATTTCATAGAATCATTGAGTCAGCAGTTTTGAGTCTTACATCACTAATTAAACACCTTGACTTATCCAAAATCTCTAAGTCAGTAACTACTTTGCAGAAGAATCTCTGTGATGTTATAGAATCCAAACTTAAGCAAGTTAAAAAGAATGGCATAGTAGATCGTTTATTTGAACAGCAACTACCAGGTATGAAAAAAAAATTGTGGAAATTTGTAGATGAACAACTTGATTATTTGTTTGCTAAGCTTAAGAAAATCTTAAGAAAGTTTTGTGATTCCATAAACTTTGGCAGTGACGATGAAGGAAGACTTGAAAAGATAAATAAAGGAAAAGCACAATATTCAAATTGTCAGAAGGAGAACAGGGATAACTGCAGCAAAGAAATGCTGAAACAGAAGTCCCCCAAATCAGAGGGTTTTGTTTATTGTAAGTCTTTACTGGGAAGTAAAAAATCTGAGGAAAAACATGGCCAGAATAACTCCAATATTAACACAATAAAGCATGACATTAAAAAAAGTTTAAACACTTGTTCCGATAATATGAAAATCTCTCATTCTGAAGAACACTCCTTGGAACTCAAGTGTCCAAGCACCCCAAAGCCAGGAAAAAGTGAAGGTGGTGTCATCGAGGATGCCCAGACATCCCAGCATGCAGCTTTGAAGCCGGAACGCAGCTTTGAGATTCTTACTGAACAGCAAGCATCTAGCCTTACTTTTAATTTAGTGAGTGATGCACAGATGGGGGAAATATTTAAAAGTTTGCTGCAAGATTCTGATCTTTTGGACAGCAGTGTTAACTGTAATGAAAAAAGTGAGTGGGAGTTAAAGACTCCAGAAAAACAGCTGTTAGAGAGTCTCAAATGTGAATCTATGCCAGCTTGTACAACGGAAGAGCTAGTTGCAGGGGAGGGTTCTCCATGTCCTAAAATGATTAGTGATGATAACTGGTCGTTATTGTCCTCTGAGAAAGGTCCATCTCTGTCTTCAGGACTTGCGTTGCCAGTTCATCCTGATGTGTTGGATGAAAGTTGTATGTTTGAAGTGTCGACTAACATAGCTTCAAGTAAAGATCATGTATGTAATTCAGAAAAGAGTAAGCCCTATATATCTTCCATCCTTCTTGAAGATCTAGCGGTCTCTTTAACAGTACCATCACCTCTCAAGTCAGATGGTCACCTCAGTTTCTTAAAGCCTGAAGTTTTGTCTAGTTCAACCCCTGAGGAAGTGATTAGTGCCCATTTTAGTGAAGATGCTTTACTTGAGGAAGAGGATGCATCGGAACAAGATATTCATTTAGCTCTGGAGTCTGATAATTCAAGCAGTAAATCAAGTTGTTCTTCATCATGGACAAACTGGTCTGTTGTTCCTGGCTTTCAGTACCATCCTGATCTACCCATGCATGCTGTCATAATGGAAAAGTCCAACGACCATTTCGTTGTGAAAATACGGCGTACAGCAGCATCTACCCCCCCTGGTCTGAAACAGAATATGGTGGCTGATGAAGCATTGGCATCGTTGCCCAGAGTGGGAAAGGAAACTGATGAAGCAGCAGAGAAAGAATATAGTCCATGTCAGAATGGAGCTTTTAAGGCTGTGGAATTGAACAATTCCAACAAAAATGTTGGTGGCAGTGAATTAGCTCATGAAGAGGAGGACTGTATGATACAAACACAGGTTCCCGATATATATGAATTTCTTAAAGATGCATCAGATAAAGTGGGTCATAGTAATGAAGTGGCTGCTGAATGTTTCGAGTTGCACCAAGTATGGGAACCAAAAGTGCCTGGAAACATTGAAGAATTGCCTCCAGTGGAAGAAATTCCACATTCTGTTGAGGATCATCTTTCAAATACATACATAGACCTCACAAAAGGTCCAGTCACTGAGACCAAAAATTTGGGGGAATTCGTAGAAGTAACAGTTTTAAATATTGATCAGTTGGAATGTTCCAGTGGCAATTTGGATCAAAACGTTCAAATACTAGACCCTATGCAGCCTGATAATGTAGGTGCTTTTATTGATTTGACAGAAGATGTTTCCAGTGAGAGTAAAACTGAAGGTGATCCTCCTGCTTTAGCTGTTGAACACTTGGAATGTCAGGTGATATGTGTAGATGAAGATAACTGTAAGGAAGAAACGGTGCAAGAGGCAAGCAGGCCTTTGGAATGCATTGTTGAGGAAGCCTATATTGATTTGACCTCGGAATCTCCCAGTTCATACGAAGAAAAAAAGGATGATTTAAAACCAGAGTCAAATTCTGATAATTCAGTGTTGCTTGGGGCTTCGGATAATGCTCACAAAAAGAGAAAAAGCTTTTCTGATCTAAATGATTCTCAGAAAAAACAGAGAAAGGAAACAGACTTAACCAGTAGGGAAAAGACCAAGCAAAGTACTCAAGATTCTGGTGAGAATGGTGAAGCTCACCAAAGGAAGGCCAGTAAGAGGAAGGCCCCTGCAGTGACCAAAGTCTCCTCATCGTTAAAGGGCAGCCCAGGGATTAAGGATCCACCAGAAACACCTGCCACTTCTACAAGCCTTTCTGCAAAGAACATTATTAAAAAGAAGGGAGAAATTATAGTTTCCTGGACAAGGTAAGAATCTTAAGACAAATTAAGTCACTAGGAAATTGTGAGAGGCCAGAAATCTCTTCTGTCATGTCATAATTTTATTCCATCCTAAAATAAGTAAAGTGATGACTTAAATTCAGAAATGACCAAAGTTGGTAGAAGATATACAGTCTAGGGTACAGTCCAGCTGTACTGTAGAACAATCTAGAACAATGGCTCTTAAGCCAGGGTATGCATTAGCAACATGGACAGAACTTTTCATTGCATTTTAACTTCACTTTTTCAGGAAAAAATTTCTTTCATTTGTAAGGAACTGGTATAAGCACAGTTTAGAAAGGAGGAATGACAGGTGTTGAAACAAGGCAGAAAGTGTGTTTGTAATTTGAGTTTTCCCCTAAATTAAGAGTTTCAGAAAAGTTTCATTAACAGATTGTACTTTCGATTTTTTTGTGAACTTCTGAAGAAATACAGATTTAGACCACTCCCCGCCTTCAGACTTAACGGTAACTACAGCTGTGAACTGCTGGACTAGAGGTTCATGATCTCTAACTAGAGTACATGAGGGAAGCTGAATTTTGCTGAATGATCAGTTTTGTTTAATACCACAGTCCTCCATGTCTTCATTTCAGGTAATTTACAGATGGCAGAATAAAATCACAGAGATTTTAAGATCATACACTGGTTCAGACTATGTAGAAAAGCAGAGATCTGAGAATTGGAAGATCTGGATCATGTTTGGGCCCTAATTTAAGTACTATATATACATTAAAGATAGAATTAAAAGAAAAATTTTAATTTTGTTTTAGAAAATGGTACATTTGTTTTAGAAAATTTGGGAATACATTTGAGCTCAAAGAATAAAATCATCCATAATCCTATTTCTTGGTGATAACCTTTGTCAAATATATACACCTTTTCTTTTTCTATGGGTTTTAATAAAAATGTCACCTCCTATTGGTGGACATTAAGGCAGTGGAATTTTTCTTACCTTTTTGCTCTAATCTGCAAAAGTTAAATAACATTTTTCCTCCTTCAGAAATGATGACCGAGAAATTTTACTGGAGTGTCAGAAAAAAGGGCCATCATTGAAAACATTTTCTTATTTAGCTGCCAAGTTGAATAAAAATTCCAATCAGGTAACTACCCGGTTTTTACTTCTCTGTAGTTTTGTTTCATATGTGTTACTCCTTAGATTGAAATTTTAACATGTTTAAAATATGTAGGTATTTATTAGCCAACTTTACAAAAAGTGTGGCTTTTTGTAGGACTCTTAAAAACGTGGAGGAAGTTTGAAACAATCCTGATTTTTTTTTAATTGTCTTCAGCATTTACTTATTTGATCACAGTAATTTTGTAGTGATATTTGCTTAAGAAACTATAATATTGAAAACTTAAAGTAGCAGTCACCTTTAGTATGAAGATATTTAATTTTTCCAAACATTACTTCCTCTCTTTAGTATTGAGGGTAACTTTCTCTCTTTAGATGTCTTGAGAAAATATTTATGAAAGATTAAAAAATATATTATTGAGATAAGTAACACTCATTTTTAATTTTCAGGTCTCAGAAAGATTCCAGCAGCTAATGAAGCTCTTTGAAAAGTCAAAATGCAGGTAGGTAATGGTTATTTACCTTACAGGAGACTGGTAAAATTAAATCTTTTGACACAGTAACTGCACAAGCCTGTTAGTCATCGAAGATGGGAGTAGTAGGTGAGAAACAGCTGGATGAGTTTCTGTTTCAGTCACAGGTTGGAGGACGGTTGCTAGTACAGGCTTCTAAGATCCCTTCATCCGCAGGGATGTGCTCAGAGTTCAGATCAGCCTGGCATCTCTCCTCAACCTTTCCTTTCTTTTTTCTTAATAATTGACATACCATATTACATGTCTCCTCAGCCTTCTGACTGTTAATTAGTCTAAGGTGAGGGGAAATACATTTGATAATTAATAAGAAATTTTTTTACAGGCAAAAAATAGAACATCCTTCAGTAACATGTTTCACAGGCAATGATGTCTGTGTGGTCATTGTAATTTAGTATTTTTTGTATTTTAATTAATAGTGATAAATTGATTTAAAGTACAAAACACATTCATAAACAGGAAAATCATTGTCTCCTGAATAGAAACATGATATACTATATTAAATGATTAATAATGTTCACAGGTAGGTTTCCTTAATTTCTTTAAGCTATTCTTTTTTTTTTTTTTT